CTATCAGTCCATGGAATGAAAATAATGTTTGTGATATTGACAGACTCACAAAAAAATCAGTCCGGGAACTCTATTGCCAGACCTCGTATTACAGGTGCACAGTTGACGCCAACAGAAAATAGATGAACAAATAATTAAAAAATCAAAACGATCTCTCTGTGTTCAAACTACGAAGATCGGTTTGAAATAGTCTCGCATGTTGTGTTCCAGTCTGAACGCTTTTTCTCAGCGTTCAGTTGATTTACGCCGAAAAATCACATTGTGCTGATACTTTTGAGCGCTACTGTATATAACTAAAATTAAGTCATTCCTTACACTAGTATTTTCCTCCATGCCTATATTGGTAATGCTACCATTTCAATTGACTATTTCTAATTTCAGCAAGGCAGATTGGATGTGACACTGCAGTTAGTATTCTTTGATGGAGAAGAGGCCTTCAAGAGTTGGAGTAGCACAGATTCCCTCTATGGTGCAAGGCATCTGGCTGCAGCATGGGCAAATACACCCCACCCTAGGACACCTGGATGCTCCCAGCTTGATGGCATTGTAAGTGCTAAGGTCCAGCCCTCCCTCCATTTTAGAAAATTACTGCAAGATATTCAACCAGTAAGTTTGGACATTATCAACAGTTGATACAAAGCATTTAGTACTATAACATAATCTCACTGCTTCCTCCTCAAGGCCACAGTGGCAAGGAGGCAAAAAGAGTAATGTTGGGAAGAAAAGATTGAATTGCCTTTCTCACATTTGGAACTCATGGCCCTAGGATATGAAATGATCCAAAAAGATTAATTTAATAGGTTTTTACATTTCCATTCATAATGCCTGACTGAGTCATGCAAGTTAACCCATTAACTGGGGAAGACGTCTTTGGACGTTCGCAAATACTACATACGGGTGGGATGGATGTCTTCAGATGTTGCCACTAGTAGGTTCTGTTTTTCTGGGAATTCTTTCCATGGAGTGGCTTGTGTGTGTCCAGTGCCTTTCTGACAGAATGTGGCTACTCGTCTTCAGCCTTTCCCTGTAGCTGTCAAATATCAGGATGTATTTTCTCCCTGATTTGTCAGCTATTTAACTGCAATATCATGTGGGAGGAGGAGTACTTGAGGGTGAGCATTATAGAGACAATATCTATCTTTACTATTATATTTCAGAATGTTTGTGTGCACATCTTTTTGTCTGTCCTTTATGCACGGTCACACCTTTGATCCCTGTCCAATCACACTTTGCATGGCTTCCTCATTTGGTCCAGGGATGGTCATAGGCTAGGTGGCATTTCAAAATTCGGACCCTTGGAGTACCTTAGCAAGTTTGTTTGCCCTTTGGTCAAAGAAATCTGCTAGTCTTTAATAAATTTGCTTTTGAGTGTTGAGAGTGAAGATTCAATTGAAGAATAATATGAAGAAACATCAGATGATGAAAGTAGAGATGAGGGTAGCAAAGACATTTAGATTCACAGAGGTGGTGATCGTGATGTACTTACTGGGACTGGGTCCACATGGCCAAGGATTGCCAGCCTATTAAATCTTTAGTTCAGAATGGAATCCTGATTGATTTTGGTGACAGAAAAGACCCTATCGATGTCTTTTGAGGCTCTCCTCATTGATGGGCTTGCTGTTGAAATTTCCAAGGAAACATATCTCTACGACAAACAGCACATAGGAGGATGTGCTATTGCTGGTGCATAGTGACCTCGCAGATGGGACAAGGACTGAGCAGACACAAATGGATAGGAGAGAAAACCTATGATTGGTCTACTAATTTTCCAAGGAATTTTGCTGAAGTCTATGAATGGTAGGCACTTCAGCAAGAAGAGAATTATGGAGATGCCCTTTGAAGAAGTCTTGTCAGAGAAGCTATTTCGAGGTAAAGGCAAAGACCTTCTCTCTTTCTTGTTCCACAATAACAATAATTTTGATCTGGTAACTGATCCCAATCCAAGGCTGTTCAAGATTTTCCCTATCCTGGATTAGGCTTTGAAGCTGTTCTAGGATATATCTCCCAAACCGTTGAATTGTCCTGATGAATCCCTACTCTTGTAGAAGTACCAACCAGGTAGGAAAGTTTACATCCCCAAGGGGAGGGTCTGCTTTACTATGGAGTCATACCAGATCAATGAATTCACCAATAGGTATTAGTGGAATATCCTCATATATATCCGGGCAAGATGAGCCTAGCTGATGAGCACACAGTGCTTCAGACACCCATTTCATTGCAAAAAACTACCCAGTTAAGGGGTTAAGCAAAATAAGAGCTTAGGAAGAGTATTAGTTTTGAGATCTGAGGGGGGAGAAAGGCTTTTGAAGGAGTTTGCTCAAAGTATAGTTGCTGCCATGCCTATTAATGCTCTTCACTTGACCCATACCCATGCAGTTGGACATTTCTCACGAGTGGATGTCTAAGTAACGTGGAAATGTGGCTGCCTAAAGTGAAAAACACTATCGATGGATATTACAATGTGTGCATTCAGTTGACCCTGGTCATGACTTCATTCAAGACAAAGCAAGGAAGTAAAGCTTGATTTTCAAGACCATTGTTGTCACTGGACATACTCACCTCATCAGGATTAAGGGATTTTCATTTGCAGAATATGCTTGTGCTGCTGGATCTTTTGGGAACAGAGATGGGGTGCACTTTCTGTCCCCAACTGTATGACTGGCAGTCAAACACAAGGGTTTGGTATGGGAACATGGTAGCCATTGAAGATCGACTGGAACGCCTCAACTTGCTTGACAAGCACAGTGGGAAAGGATCATATTTTAAACCCAAGGCTGATTACTCATTTGGGGCTGGGCTGCAGGATGATCACGTCCCATTCTTGCAAAGAGGTAGGAGACCTATTCCTTGACTTTCATATTCAATCCTTTTCATACCTCTTTTTGGAAACATGAATATCCCTCAAATCAAACTTACAGCATGAAAGAGAAAAAGCCTGACTTATGTATAGAATTACACTTGAGATTAAATGCAAGACTTTGATGTGGCAGGTGTGAAGATAGTGCACTTAATCCCAAGACCTTTCCCATCAGTGTGGCACCAAGAGAAGGACAACTACTCAGCCCTACATGGACCCACCATTGGGAACCTGCTCAAGATCTTCCGTATATTCACGGCTGAGTACCTCCAGCTTCCCATCTAGGATTCCGCAGAGAACTTGCCCGTTCCCTCTCCCCCTCTTTCTTTTAATGCACAACATACTGAACTCTGATTTACTGGATGGTGATTCTCTTATTCCATGATGGTTTTTCCCCAGGGGAAAAGGGACCCATTTTATTCATTTGAATTCACTCATATAACGTGTATTTTCATTGTTCAGCAAAAGGAATTTATGATATCCAGTATCCTTACGTACTGTACTTGAAGGTTGAAGCCTTTAGATCTTCAGAAATTGGAAGGGGTGAAAAGAAAAGTAGTCTATTGGCAGAAAATTGTTTTCTCAAGCTCAAGAGTGAATATTCCAGTAAGGAAAGTGGTATGTGTAGTTAGACCAGTTTTGCACTTACATTAATCCAAAAAACTACAGTCTTCAATAAAGGAAATAAAGAATCAATGGACACTGAACCAACTCAGATATTTTTTGCATATAGACCACTTTTCCTTTCAATTCTTCAAACTTATTTCCCTGGACTACTTTTTGCTTTTCAGTTCAGTTCCCCTTTGGGCAAGTTCTCTGCCTCGGCATTCCTGGATTTGTGACTCATGATTTGAAGTTGAATTTTTTTGTTGAAAAGGTGATGGGCACTGTTAAAGTTGATGACTAATGGAGTATCATACCTTGGTGGATGGTAGTTATTGTGGTATGAACCATTGAGCTGTAGCAATTGTAATTTCATTTGGTGGTCAGGTGTTGCAGTGTTTCATTTGTTGGGAGTACCCTTGTTTCGTGCTAGTGAGATGATGAAAAGAAAAAGGACTCTGATGGTCTTTCAATTAGGATTAAATACAAGGTGAATTTTCAAGCCTGATAGGAAAATGGTGACAAGGATGAGAAAAGAATAAGTCAATTGCTGATGGAGGACTGACTCCAAGCTAGAGAAGAGAGGGGGAAGGGCCAAGACAAGAAACAGGTATGTGAAGTTCAGTCATTACGGGTACAGAGGTGTGCATTGAAGACATTGAATGCCTGGAGATCAGGAATATAATGTGAAAGTACAAGTAGTGCCTTTTCTTGGTCAGGAACCTGGTGTGCAAGTGTACTCTTTGGTCATGTCCTCGGCTCAAGTCAATTTGCCATCCTTGTCCAAGCAAGCAAGTGTTGTCTGCTTCTTCCCCCTTCAAACAGGGATGCAGGGATGAGGTAAAATGTTGTGCAGACATTAATATCAGCTTCAGATACATTGCCAATCAATTTGACATCACAATACTGGGTGACAAAAAAGTTCAAACTATTTCTTTTAATTAATTTTTCATGCAATTGTTTAAAATTTCACATTGACAATGCCACTCATTTTGTTCATCTAATTCTGTTCTTCATGCTTATTTCAAACACTTATTAATATCTCTGTTGCCAAACACGTCTGCAACTCGTCTATTGACCATCATTTTATAGGTAAGTTTCACAATTGACTCCAATTTGCTTGGCTATCCTTCTCATTGACACTCTCAGATTTCTTTTCACTTGACCTTTGAAAGGATTGGAAACATGAGCAGTAGTAGCAGTATGTGGCCAAACACTTTGAGGGTGATCCAGTGTATTTCCTTGTTCTTTTGTAGCATTTTTAAAATTCTGTGCACATTTTTTCTTGGGATTCTGAGCAATTTAGCTCTCTTGTATCCGGTTTTTCCAGCTTCTAAAAATCCAATTATTGCTGCTCATTTAAGATCCATTGCTGTAGTTTTTATAGAGATATTAAAGAAAGTTTGAAATAGACATGATAGAGCATAATTAGACATAAAAATGAGGTGTTATCTTACTGCAAAATTTTAAATAAACATGCAAATAATTCTAAAAAATAGTCTTAATTTTTTTGTCACTCTGTACTAATGCAAGAAAAAAAAACCCATCCTACAGTTAGGATTCAATACACCTGGTCCCAATTACAAACATTATTGAGCAGTTCAGATCTTTCAGGCCTTCAGCCCTACTGACACATGTATCCATCTTGGGGTGGTTCAAAACAGCTGGGATGTGGTTATTGGAAAGGAATATAATGACATTATGGTCAAAGTTTTGGAATGCAGTTCTTGTCTAGTAACCTCTCAAGCAAGAAATTGACACATTTTCAGGTTTAGGAATGGATTTCATCTGCTAGATCCTGTCTTCATATGAGATTTTAATATCCTTACCTTTCTTGATTCAAAGTTATTGAAAATTTTCATACATAATTTTCTTGGTATATTTCCCAGTGCTTGTTTAACCCCCCTACATTAGTACTCAAGCAGTTTTTTTTTCAGCTAAATATTAGCTGGGAGAACAATCAAGTTGGCAATGCACATGAGATTGCTTGAGTCTGATAATGGTCAAATACAAGAAAGTAAGACTACTTTCTTGTATTTGACCATGAGATATACATGGTGAATCAGAAAGGATGCACCACAAGGATTTCTCTTATTAGGATATAAATTGTAGGTGATGTGTTATGGAACCATGGCTATGTACAGGACTGAGGAGAGAGTGGACTTGGTGTTAGTGACATATGGTGGTGGCAATTGGAAAATTTGTTGTGTAATTGTTTTCATTATGTTGCATCATTTCTGTTTGAATGGGATTGAGATTTTCATCTCTGTATTCACCAGTATTTCCATGGTTTATCAACTTGGAGAAAGTATTGACATGAGACTGTTTATTATCCTTGTCTAGTCCCATTGCAAGTAAGTGTTTATGCGAGCATGCCATAATGTCCAGTGCTATGGATGCCATGAAGTTCATGAAGTTATATTATGTGGTATGCAATTATTCTGTAATGGAGGAAGTACCCATACTTGTATTGGATTGCACTTGAATAAGAAATATTATTTTATTGTCGTATTTTTTATGACTCCATTTTTCTTGATAATACACAATTAAACCCTCATTCCTCTTGTAGACTTGTGTTTAATGGAGATTTGTCTCTAGTGAACTCTGCAATTGGTTTTCAGTGACAAAGCCTGTTGTCTTCGTAATGAGACTCATGGGGTATCATAATAACATTATTTGCCAGCTGTCCCTTTTTCCTTAATGAGATGTGGCTTGGCTAATAATCAAATTATAATCAATGGGAGTAGAAACCAAACAAAAAAAAATTCCCTCAACAGTGCATGCGAATTCTTATATTATTAAGCAGGTATACAAACATCCTTCGCACTTGGGGTTTAAGTGCATCAAAATGTTCATATGAAGCTTCATAACTCATCTGAGAGATTCTAAAACTCAACATGGACAGACGGAAACAAAAATGGGAGAAAACATCACTACGGCAAGAAATACCATGTCACAGGCTGAAGACACTCAGACTTTGCAAAGCATAGGTGGGATGAGGGAATCAGCCTTCTCTTTCCCTTCCAGTTTTTCCACAATGGCCAAGGCGAACTCAAAGCTTGTTCCTGGCCCTCTAGATGTAATCAAGTGACCTGGAAAGAAATATGATGCTTTGAAACCTTTCTAGGTAAACTTAGGCCCAACAAAGAAGTGTTTTTGCCTTACAATCCAGGAAACATTAACATCATTCCATCAACTACTCCATTTACCCCCAGTCCCTTCATCACAAAGGCATTTTCCAGAATGCATGCATTAGATATGAAAGGGAATGGTACTCATGGGAGTAATCCAACCCCTTTGGTTCTATGCCCAATAAGCATGTCTGTAATGAGAATTGGACTAATCCACACATTACCAGAGTAACAGAAAGTCATTTCAATTACTTATTTCCATAAAATGCCATACTAATGACTCAAACATGTTCAAGAATGACTGGATGAGAGTAGCATATTGCCCAACTAATTAGAAATGAGAAGAGGGAGGAGTTGCAGGAGTCATGATTCTGATGAAGTTTACTTCATTTTATTTTTTTGAAGAAAGGAAGAACTGATTGAGAACAGGAAGAATAATCTAGTATGTTGGTCATGTTCCCATTGCTATTAAACATTGTACAAAAATGTACAGCATTCTGACCTCTCCAATAAAATCCTTCAGGAACCTGTAGTGCTTCATACTAAAAAGTACTTGTCATGCTGTTTCAATCAGAAAAAAGTTTGACTTATCAGGATGAGCAATTTGGAACATCCCTCTGCAAAGAATGTCACATTTTAGTAATAAGCACTTGCAGAAATTTCAACAAGTGGATAACCAAAATATAAAAATTGAATGCTGAATGAGTTTAATTTATGCACACAATAGTGTGTTATCTCATGTTCCATTGTTCTTCATGGATGTAGTTAATGCAAATGGGGATTGTTCTTCCATTTTTTTCCATTAGCCAAATGGAAATAGATGTCTCCTACTCATTAGAACATTATTGTATTTTTTTTTTTAAATAGAAGTGTGACAATGAGAATTCTGAACACCAATTAAATTGCATTTTGGATTATTCATGATCTTGAATACATGGCTAGAACAATCACAAGTCCAGCTTTTTGTAGTCCCTTTTCAAAGTTGGCTATTAGGGTCCTTCTGGGTAAGACCTACCTCCACTCTGACCAAAGGAGGGGGGGGGGGGGTGCCCCCAATGCTATGCTGCTGCTCCTGGATGCTCTATGCCAAAATGCACAGTAGGTATCTTTGCATGAATCTTCATGCTTGAGAGCTCCAAATTGCTACATCATGAAATCTTAAAATATTCTTGTTCAGAAGAAAGTAATACATAACACTTCCTAGCATTGAATACTTTGTATAGGTAATTTGGAACCCACTTTAGAAACATCATTCAATAATGTACAATATGCATCCTCTCAGAAAGATGTCAGAATCAACGAGATCAGCAATGAGCAAAGGCAGCTATTCTTCCTTTGAATTTCTGACTCACCATCAATAACAACTCTATCCTCAGAATACTTGTACCCTCCAGCCTCAACCTCACCCTTCTTAGAAGGATGTGAGGTAACATTCTTTCCTTTTGCAATGCCATGGGCCTTCAATGCACAAGGAGCTGGGGAAGAACAAAAGAGTGGCTAAGTATGGCTGCAATTCTATAAACATTCTTATGATTGTATCAACAGTCACCTGCACAGATGGCTGCAATCAGCCGACCTGATGCTTCCTGCTGTTGCAGCACTCTCTTCACATCTCCTGACTGAAATAAGAGAATCCTACAGTTGAAGCTAATTTTAAAATGTTATTTAGAAAGTGATATGTGGTAAGGGACTGTTCACAAATTATGTAACACATGGGGGGGGGTGTGACACTTTTTCTGATCCCCCCCTATCCTCCTTGTGTTACGTAATTTGTGAACGGCCCCTAACAATAGTGACAAGGATTGAGACCAATTATCACTCATGAGCTTAAGTGCATATATGAGGAGTGTTCATATGATGAGAAAGTCATTATTTAAAAGTAGATGTATGGATTCTGAAAATTCTGATTCTTTCATGATGTACCTTCTAGAATGGCTGCATGGATCCCATCTCTCCACCCACTTAGCAAACATATGATCTAGCCCATTCTGTGGAAGTTGTTTCAGCTTCATCTCAGACTTAGTTTCTGTCCTAAAAATGCATTCTTCAGAGATGGGATATGAGATTTTGGTAGAGCTAAAAGTTGTTTGGAGCAAGATCTGGGCTGTATGATGGATAGGGAATAGTGTGGATGCCATTTTTGGCCTGTCAGTTGCTGACAACTCAAGATGTTGTTGGGGCAGTCATCTCCTGCTGCATAGTTTGTTGGTACTAGCCAAGTAGAGCCAGGTCCAGGTATACTATTGCATATCCTTGGAAATTATATACATGAGCCTCATCAGCCCATATTCTCCCTCCCTTTCCTTATGACATTCCACTACACTGATCAAATTCATTACTAACCTTCCAACCTGGGCACCCTGAGACAAGCCAGTATTGGCACTTAGAAACTACCCATCTTTTTTTTCCCTTTTGTTTTCCCTGTTCTTTATTTATTTTCAAGTGATCTGTCCCATCTTGATTTTTTTACTCTCTCATCCTCCTACATAAAGTATTTCAGTTTTATTTATTTTTTTACCTATCTCTTGAAAAATAAATGGATGGAAATGGAAATGATTCCAACATGAAAGTCCAAGTATTATTCTCACAGGGGCATGCCTCATCAAATAGGAGCTAGAGGGAAATTCTGATTACTATTAATGGAATTCATGGCATCTTTCTTCAGTCAAGGTTGGCATAGCCTCATATACCTACCCTGATTAGCATTATAAGACCTCCAAAGCTTTGCTTCTACCCACATCCCCACAAAAACAATCCTTTACAAGGTTTACAGCTTTTCTAGTGATTTTCAAACAAATTTTTACCATCTTTAGCATGGTACCCATAGGCCTCACATCATTTCTATAATGAGAGATATACACTTTCCTCTTTGGATGCACCATACCAATAGCCTGGCACAATATAAATGGTGGTACAAGTATCATTTGAGGGCAGGTCCAAGTCCAGTCTCATTAAAGGGTAACATTGAGAAGAAAACATAAAAAATTCACCTTAATTAATGCATGTCAATATGCTTTCTGTTCCACTCAGGGAGTGACCCCAAGAGGTTCCAAAATCAACACCTCCTTCCTGATGAACAAAAAATTTGCCCTCATATATAGGCAGTTATTTATGGAGTGCATGGCATAACAAAAATGTACAACTAATGAACATAAAAAAACTCACAGCTGCAAGGTTTTCAGATCCCTTCAGTCCTCCAGGAAGCACTATAACATCATAGGGGCCTTTCTCTATGGCATCCTCAAAGGACATGTCAGGTACAATATTCACATCCCTGCTACACTTCACTGGTTCCTTCCCAGAAAGCCCTGCTATTGTGACAGACACCTGAAGCACAGTCAACTTCAATGAGAATATGATTACTGAAAACAAAGCTATTCTATCAGAGTAATTCAAAAAGACGCTCAATTCGGAGGATATTAGGCTAACGTTAGGTCATAAAATTCAATGAGTTCACTCACTCCTCCCCTTCTCATGACATCGACAGAGATGACAGCTTCCATTTCTTCTGCCCCTTCGGCCAAGATCAGAAGGGCTTTTTTTGCCATGGTAATACTTTGATTAAATATCGAGCGACGAGAGATAAACCCGAGATTCTCGACTAATATGGGCAAGAAATGCACCATTCAGACGGACAGCACGTGTTCGCTGGTGCAGTCATTAGCTCCTATTGGCTGACGCCCCTTGACGTCATCTTCGTTGATGACATCACTATTCATCATGGCTGCGCGGGAGAGAGTAAGGTGTTCTCCACTGGATTATTATTGCCATTGATTCAGTTTTGCGCTGCAGAAAAAATTAGCCTCAAGTATAAGTACATTTTAGGTTGCCTAATTTTTGGCCTATGCGTAGACTAAGTTGATAATTAAATATATTTCTGTTAGCACCGCACGTAAAGAATGTAAAGAATTAAGGAATTGAATTACTCATTTCAGCCGAAGTAGTTACTCGGGGATACGCAACGCTTGTCTGGCTGTCACCACTGGAGTTATTTAATGCCCCACATGTAGACTGAAGTGCTGCATTCTCGGAGGCCTCGCTTCCCAGGCACATCGTGACTGGACTCGATGTGAAACTCCAGATTTCGTTAATCTCAGATAATGAGTTCCCACCAAGGGAGTCTGGCTCCCTATCAACTGAACCACTCACCTGTTCCCCTTGACCCCCAAGGGTCAAGGCCCAGCTGGACAGGATGGTTGGAAATACAGGAAACTTAAAATAGGATGGAATGATTTGATGCCAAACTTTTTTGGTTAAAGCCATGAGGGCACTGAGAGTTCAAAGCAGCATCACACACCAGTAAGTCAAAGCTGTAGAAGGCATGAAAATCATAGGACATAAGTAACCCCAAGACAAGGCCAGCAGCATCAACTTTTTAATCACTGCTGGTCCATGTAACTATCTTCTCTTTTAGTATGTAATATGCATCCTCTTGAAAGAATTTAAGGATCCTAATAATCCTAATATACAGCTAGATACACTGTTTTCGGATTGAAATGTGTATCCCTCATAGGAGTGCTTTTGTCAATTACAATTAGTTACAGGGTTCACGCTAGCTTTTTTAAATCTTGAGTCCTGGGGCCTAGCTTCAGCTCAATGGGAACATGTTCAGATGGTTGTCAATGAGTCCCACAGACTTAGATGTGTTGCAAACATGAGTCCTTCCAAGAAAATATGAGTCAGGGACTTGCTGTAGTGAGTTAACCCTGAGTTACACTTGCTCAAGGGTGGTTTTTTTAAATTTTATTTGATAAAGTGTATCCTCCAGAAGTAGTGCTTTCTCTGTTCTCCATTACCCAGGGGGTAGTACAAATTCAAAAAGAAAACAGCTTACTTATGCATAAAAGATAGCTCCATTCTTTCTTAGGTATATATCTTTATTAGTTATATCTTATAAGTATATTTTCGAGAATGACTACTGACTGGTAGATCTATATTTCATATCAACTTCAGCCGGTATGCATGAAAAATAATTGCATTTGCTGATATATGACTATACTCAGGAAGAGGAAGAATTGCCCAAAGGGCTAGGAGAGCATAAGAATCAACCTTGAAATCTACAAAGTTAATGACTCCAAGCATATTTTTCTGAGGCTGAAAGGGAAGAAGGAATCTTTTCCCCATCAAGGGAAAAATATTGAGATTGAACTGATTAGCTTGTTTGTAAGGTTAAAAGAAGAGCAAGAGCAAGGAAGTTTGTCTCAAATTTTTTCTTTTGACTTAATAAGCATTTCATACTACATATCAAGAGAGATCATTGCAATAAACTGAAGAAAATAAGTTTGAAAGCTTGGAAACCAGTATTCTTTCATGACCATGTATGATAATCATGTGACATTAGTTTTTCTTTTGTTTAGCTCAACTATGGTTTTGCTCATTGAAATCTGACATGAATGTCAGATGACACAATCATAATATGAACTTGAAAGAATAAAGATCAAGGAGTGATCTTCCCACTTGATGGAGCATTGGTCCAAGTGATGATACAGTAAGGTGTCCCCATATGAGCTAGCACCAATGTGCTAGCTCAAATGGGGACAAGTGGTCCAGAAAAGAATAGGATGCTAACAGCTGTAGTGCTTATGTAAGCCTATGTGGAGCTTCCAAAGCACTACACTGTTTTTATATTAAATGTATACCCCTCCCAAAGGAGCTCTTCCATCTATTGCAAGTGGTGACATCTTGCTTGTGAGTGGTTTTGTGGATCATGTGATGAACTCTCACTGTTCTCTAAAACCCAGGAAGGCACCAATTCAATCCAAAAATAATATATGTATTTCTGAAGGATCTCCCCATGATGGAATCCATTTCTAATTTTTTATTCATTCATAAATATCTTAAGAAAGACTGTGTATGGATATATTTGGCCATATTTCAACTTTATTTCTTCTTTAACTTTATTTGAGATGGGATAAAGTCGAAATATAGCTGAAATAAAGTTAAAGAAAAGATAAAGGAGAAATAAAGTCTAAATATAGCTGAAATAATGTTAAAGAAAAGTTAAAGAAGTTTCGTGAAAAAGGCCCCTGAAGTTCTGACTTATGAGCAGATGCACACTACATATGCCTTTGACATAAAAAAGGCCATGTGATTGGGCCATTGGAGTATCATTGGTATCAGTGCATGTTACTTATCTGTCCCTCCTCTGATTAGATGCATAGACAACTTCATTGCTCAATATTTGACAGAGCCTGACACATCCATGACGAATCCCAGTGGATCCCAAACTCAAGCTGTGTCAGTGCAAAATGGATTCAGTGAATCCCAATGTTGTGAAGCCATTAGTGGCAGTGATTGTGATGGCCCCCATGGTGCTCAGGCATCATTGGGAGGATTTATGGTTGTGGATCGACATGAGGTGATATTAAATGCCAAATCTGGGTTTCATCTTCCCATCAGTGTCAGTTGGCAGCTAGCTGGGAATCCTGCTCTTGGAGATTGGATTGGCTTGTACCTAGCAGGTGAGGATTCTGGTTCTAAATGGCATGCAGATACTGTGCTCCATAAGATCTAAGTCATATAAATTGATATAAAGCATTCCACATTACATCTAAGCATTGTATATCCATCAACTAAATGAAACTGTTTCACCTAAGGATGATCTCACCCTCATTTTTAACCTTTAGTGCAGTTGGATTGTTATATGTTACATGTGCATGAGAGTGTGCTGCTGTATGGGGACTAAAGCATAGTAAAGCATTGTTCAATAATGTGGGGGAAACTAGAAAGACTTAGATCAATTGGACCATGAAAATGCACTCTAGAAATGGGAAGGAAAAAGGTGAGTATCTTGTCATGTGTTGGCCTACTGATACTTTTTTCAGCAAAAATATTGATACTATTGGCATTCAAAATATCTCTGACAAATAATTTTCTTAACACTGGTTGAACTTTTTAGCAGGAATTGTCTCCATTGAGCTGAGAATGTATCTTTTCAGTGAAACAATTGACAGGGTCCTCTTCTGCAAGTCATAGTTTTGTTTGATCCAAAGTAGCAGAACCCATTTATGTCTCCATGTCAATATAGCTGTATTTGTTTATGTAAGTATTGGAGATGTCAGTTGTAGGAATTGTTTCTTATTTCTCTTTCAGGCTTACATGCAGTTTTATATCATTTCACATCCACAGAAGTGGTGCAAAAAGAAGCGCCTTGTTTGACATCTCATGAAATCAGCTGTGGAGATTTTAGGTTAATACATTTTTTGTATCATATTGGAAATGCTATTTAAAATTTTTTTTTAGAGTTTCAAGTGTATGGGTTGTCTGGATAAGAAGTGAGTCATTCAAATTGCTGCCAAGTAAGTATAACTTTTTTCATGAATGAGGTGGTTGCAGTCTCAGCAATGCTTGACAGGTTTATTCCTTTGATTCTGTAAAGACTATTTTTTCATGCTGTGTATTCTTTATAGCATTATTAATTGTAAAGCATCTGTTGACCCCAGATGAGAAGATCAGGCCTGAATTTGATGGTGTGCTTAGAATATAAGGACTGGAGAGGGTAGAGAATTTTCAGTGTTTCTTATGAAAATTTGGACTCTGTTCTGTGGAATCTCCTCTCTCTAGCCCTTCTTTTAAAAACACCCCTTTTAATGCCATGACTTTTCCTTCATAAGGTATGACGCGATGACACTGCACAGTCAAGAACATTACAATAAAAATGAAGCATAAGAAGCTGGCTTTCTTGTACCAAATAGAAAACATCTGTGGGGCTCTGTTGAAACTGTTGTATATCAATATGTGGAAAAGCTTATTTTTCCTAATAAGAGTTTTAACAACTTTGCCCAGGCAACCCTGAGACTTGAAAACTTACAGGAAACAATTTTAGTGTGTTTTCTGTGTGATACAAAAAGACATGAATCTTGCATTTCTACAGGTTTTATAAAGCCTCAAAGGATGTTTTTTTGCACCATCCTAGAGTAATTTGTTACTGTTACAAGTTCCTTTTTGTGAAAAGTGTCTTTACTCAGTAAGTAGTTAACCTACTTTTCAGTGTGAGTAACTGTAACAAAGACTCATTTTCTAAAGTTACTCACCTGCCCTGGTATGCCGTAAATGTGTGTGAAAATAGATGACTGATCATTCAAAAAACTGCAACTGTACCTCTGGAAATTCCAGGAAAGCTGTACATGTTGGGGGAAGTCCTGCTTCCACATACTCATGAGAATTAACCTTTCATTAAGATGTTCCTCAATTACTGCAATGTGCAAGAATTTCAGGGACATGCCACACCATTGTTATGGATTTAGGTGAAGTCTGAATGTATTCTTATATTCTTTGTTGATATTTGACACAAATCCCAAGGAGAAATGAATTTTATCTGATGTAATTAGAGCCATGCATGCCTGTTGCATTCTACTAGTAGTCGATTTTTGCATCATTGAATTCCCTAATTGTCAGAATCTACTCAAGCCAAGTGAGTGTAAGGCTATGTGTGATTGGGTGAGCAGTCTCTTGTCTAGCAATGCATTTTGGAATTTTCTTCCAATCATATCAAGTTGCATTCTTAATGGAACCAGAGGAATCCCATTGAAAACTGTTTTGGAAATGATGTGATTTGTTTTAATGCCATATATGCAAGGAATGATCTAAAGGTTCTTGAATTGATTCTGTTGCTTCTTTATTCTTTGAAGCATGAATATTCATCCAGGCATTAACAGGTT